TTTTGATTCTAATTATAAAATCTCAATCTACTTTATCTCTTATATTTATCTATTTTTTTTAAGATTAGTCTTTCTAATAATAGTAGTTCTAACGAACAAACTTGATTAGTTTAAGAATATTTTAGAAAAAACAACACATATTTATTAAAAATAATTAACTCATCTTATTTTCTTAATCTACTCAAAATAGTTAACTAGTTTTTATATTTAGTACCGAGAGTAGTAAATAGATAAAAGACAAAACAATGTTATTAGGTATTTGCTATCAAGTTCTCCAATAGAAATGTAACACCTTATATTTTTTATAGTCCAATATTATATGATTGGATCAATGTAAAAATAAATTCCTTCACATGTGATGATTTTGTTGGAGAAGCAGCAAACGCCTAAGAACTTTGAGGCAAGTTTTGTTACAAAAAGCCACAAAGCTGGTCACCTAAAGAAAACCCCTCTTCTCAAAGCTGCTTACCCTTTGTAGCAAAAGATTTCTTTGGAAGGGCTCTCCATCCGATATCGTGCCGATAGAAACCTTCCGGCCAGTTAATCTCCTCGACGGCTTTATAAGCTCGGTCTCGTGCCTCTTCAAGATCATTTCCCTTCGCAGTAACTCCAAGAACACGACCTCCGGTGGCGATAAATCTGCCTTCAGAGTCAAAAGCAGTTCCAGCATGGAATATCTTAATGCTGGGACCAGCATTCTCAGCTTCTTCAAGGTTTTGAATTAATGTTCCCTTCTGATAGGATCCAGGATATCCCTTACTTGCCATTACCACAACCATGGCAGACCCTTGAGACCAGTTCAATGACACTCCATTTAACTCTCCTCGGCAAGCTGCAAGTAGAACTTGTGCCAGATCAGACTCCAACCGAACCATCAAGACCTATTTAAGTTGTAAAAGGGGATTAAGAAAACCACATAAGTTAAAATGACTTAAAAATCACCAATTAAAGATAATGCGGTGTATCACATGATGTGATCAATCTGTCAAACCAATAAACTGAATAATCAAAGATGTCATAGGTATGCCTCTGTATGGGTTATCAACTAAAAAGGTAACTATGGGTATATTTGGGGGTTGGGAAAAGGCGAGAAGAAATAATCCCAAACCCACAAGAAAGTTGTAAATAAACTGGGGAAAAATAGAAAAGAAAAGGGGAAAAAAGCACAAATGAACCCTTTGAATAGAAAAATGGAAACATCAATGGATCCTTCTGAATCATCAGCTGTGGGATAGGTAAAATGACGCATCTAGTATCCAGTTTATTGCCAATATAAACTTATGACTTAAGGCGCGCCGTTGGTCACTCAAAAAGTAGGGAAACTTGTGACTAGAAAAGAGATTCATCACAATCAAGAATCTAATCATAACGGACCTGGCATTCTGGGTCTCCGAAGCGCACATTATACTCAATTAGCTTAGGCAAGCCAGACTTCTTCTCAATCATAAGCCCGGCATATAGAACCCCAACAAACTTGCAGCCTTCAGCTGACATACCTTTCACTGTGGGGATAATAATGGAATCCATTACTATAGTTTGAAGTTCCTTGGTCAGAACAGGGGCTGGCGAATAAGCACCCATGCCGCCAGTATTTGGTCCTGTATCACCATCACCAACTCTTTTATGGTCCTGGGCAGATTCTAGTGGAATTGCATTTTCTCCATCAACCAATGCAAAGAAAGATGCCTCCTCTCCTTCTAGAAATTCCTCCACAATGACACGACAACCAGCAGAACCAAAGTCACCCTTCACCAGCATCGAATCAACAGCTTCATATGCCTGTTCCAGGGTCATGGCAACAGTAACTCCTTTTCCAGCAGCCAATCCATCAGCTTTGATAACAATCGGCGCTCCTTGTTCTTTAATATACAGCTTTGCAGCTGATGGGTCTGTAAATGTCTTGTACTGCACTAACGGGCTCATGATTAGTTAGAAGAAGCAAAGTAAGGGCTGCAAATGGGGGGAAAAGTTTTAAAAAGAGCCACTAAAATATGCTCAAAATATATATGAGAAGAGCATCATACACTGGGAATTGAGATAAAAAACAATGGTGGAAGATGAGGTCTTCACTGGTTGTCAAACGCAAATATCATCTCTAATTATTATCCCATTTTTAAATAATAACATTCTTAAAAAACAAGGGAAAACAACTTATAGATATTTATGTCAAGAAAACATATACCCAACACGGTTTTAACTAATGCTCTTACTAATTCGTATGTTAGAGATCTGCTGGTGGGATAACATATGTACTACCCAGGGTATATGCACAGATATGCAGCTGGAATTACAGTTGGGCAGACAAACCTTCGCAGTTGGAATTCCATATTTGTCACACAAATGCTTCATGAAATTCTTTGAACCTTCCAAAGCAGCAGCTTCTGCAGAGGGGCCAAAAGCTGGGATTCCAGCCTTGACTAAATCATTGACAATACCCGAAACAAGGGGAGCTTCAGGTCCCACAACCACTAGTCCCACACCCCATTTATGGCAAAATGAGATTACTGCAGCCCCATCATTGATGTTAAGGTCTGAAATACAGGTGGCATTTCCTGACTTGGAAATTCCTGCATTGCCAGGAGCACAAAGCACAGCACTACAAGATGGCGACCGTTGCAAGGCATAGCAGAGAGCATGTTCACGTCCCCCTCCACCAATTACGAGAACTACCAGCCTTTCTTCTTTGACATGAACAAAAGTGATAAAAAAGAAGTAACTAAAAATAAGTGCATAAAGTATATACAATACAAGTATACTATGTCAATCTTAGGCTCATATATAATAACCAAGGAAAAGATGAAGTTACTGCAGTGCTCACGAGAATCATTTGAGCCAGCACCAACAGAAACGGATGGCTCCGAATCCCCAACAGCACATTTGAAAATGCTATGAAATGTCTGTGAGCCGCTAAAGCGACGGGTATCTAGGAAAATACTATTAGTGGTGGAGCTCAACTTGAAGGGCTCAAATAAGAAAGTAGAAGACTTTTGGAAAATACAGGGCTGTCCGATCCTAAACGGCCTGGAAATTCCACTGCGAAGATTCAAAGAAGCCCCATAGTTGAAGGTGGCGCAAGACATTCCTCTCCGCTGCAAGGCAAGTTCTCAGTCTGCAGAATTAAATCGTGACCTTTCAATATAATATGACAATAATAGAAAGAAGTAATATAACCATTCTAAGAAGTGCATTGAGCCCACACAAATGAAACCTACACGGTGCCGGTCAAAGTTCATGCTTCACTGGAAATAGTACCCATTCAGTTAATTTAACAAACAGCTTGTGCTCGTGAGGCAAGATACAAAAGTAACAAATCCAATATGGACAGGGGGGCTAAAAACTTCAAATACAGAAACTGGTATGAATACTTGCGAGAGAACAAGAAGAAAGCAGCAATGCCCGAAATGCCAGTCCAACCCACATAGACTCCAATCGTCGCAAAAACCATTCATCATTTAGTCCCCCCCCCCCCCCCCAAAAAAATGTGAAGACAAGATGAGAGTAAGCATACGGACACTAAAGGTGAGCAACCACGACGCCGACGAGGGCCGCGCAACAGTGGCGATGAGAGGTCGAGATTCCAAAAGACTGACTTGCGTGTCAAAAAGGCGGGAATAATTCTGCACTGAAATCCCCATGAACTCCGAATTGTAGATTAGGCCAATGGAGCGGGTCCTATCATAATGGACCGGGTCATCGGATTGTCTTGTGATATCGTTCTTCTTTTTTTTTTCCCCCCCGGTCTCCCGCTGTTCCATTCTATCCCAATATCCCATTCCGGCATTTCCCATAATGAAAATTCCCTTTATTCTCATATGACTCTACATTTTTTTAGCATGAAAAGTTAATAAAAGGCAATTAGTATAATACAATTTAGGTTTGGATAAACTTTTATAAATAGATAAATTTAATAAAAAATTTTAAATAATGTACATTAAAAAAGATAAGATTTTGTTGTTCTTGTTGATGTACATTAAAAAGGGGCAAATACAATTTTTTGCTCTTAAAATTTGAATCCATTTTGGTTTTAATGTCTTAAATTTTAAACCGTAGTTTTAGTTTTTAAAATTTAGTTTGTATTAAAACATTAATCTTTTAAAGTATAACGGTATTAAAATCTGCTAAATATGATCGATGATATAAAAAGTGATGATATAATGTGAATAACAAAGCATAGCGCAATCATAAATGGTCACACTAGCCCCTTGATCATTCTATGTAACACCTTTGCATAAGAAAGAGTTGCATTATCAAATGTACAACATTATCTCTATGCCTTTAAACCCTCCTACAAATGATTATTGGAAAATTAGAAGGGTAATTAGGTTTCAAAATCTGCTTATTTTGATCCTATTTAAGGGCCTGTTTGGATAATATCCCAAATCATGATTTGGGTAAAAAAAATTGTCAAACAAGGGACAAAATTGACAAATCATGGTTTGGGATCAAAACCATGGTTTTTAAAAAAGTAAATTCTGCTTCTGGCTTAAATTAAAAAGTATGATTATACCTGTCAAAATAAATTTTAACAACAATATGACTTTAATATCCTTTAATTATTTTTTATAAACATATTTAATCTTATATTTTATAAATATATATATACAAATATTAATTATTTATAAATTACATTATCTTATATGTCATTAATTATGTTGGTAAAAAATATATTATTAACAATTTTATTCCTTCAAATTAAAATAAATTATAAAATCCATCTTTTATGTAATTATCATATTAATTTGTGCCTTTTTTAGTAATTAGCACATATAAAAAGTACTTCTGATTATCCAAATACTCTTACTTTATCAAAATCACTTTTTCACAAAATCTATTCTCCTAATAATCTATTTTGTAGAAGCTATTTTTCAAACTATAGCTTGGTTTTATCCAAACACCAATGGAAAGAGACAATGTGCCATTAATTAAATTCATGTACTTACATCCAACCCACAGTGCTCAAAAACACAAGATAAATGATCCGTACCATAAACCCGTCCATCTTGAAGGAAAACATAGCATCAAAATTAATTGGAATGGATTGGGGGCATAATTCAAGCTGTATCGTATAATTTATACATATACAAACTCATACCGCTTATCTTACAAAACTCATTTCAATATTACTTTGTCTCAGATGTACATGGAAAAAGCAGTTTCTCCAGCAACAACAGGAAGCAACTCCATGGACTACAGCAACTTTTTTCAGGGTGCATACATATATATATATATCCTATGAACTCTTTCTGTGAAATTCTTTCTCAGATGCACCAGATGATTTACAGCCTGGTAAGAAATAACAACTGGATAAAACAGAGTTTGGGAAAAGTTGCTAGGTGTTCAGAGCCATAAATAAGTTCTGCTTACGAGCATGCTCTGGAATCAGCCGATTGATGATATCAGGTGGTATACCGGCGAGCTCTGCAAGAATGAAGCATATAGAAATCAGGGCGGCCATAAGACAAAAACATAAGAAAATACCTACTTTAGGCCCAGAGTTGTTGGATTTTTGTATGGCTTCAATGCCCTGAAGGTACGGTGTTGTTCCAATCACATTTTGAGCAACCACATGATTTTGTACAATATTTTGAAGTTTAAATATTTTTAGAATTCAACAAAAATGATACTCAGATTTTAAAATAGCACAGTATAAATATATACGACTTTAATACCCAAAAACAAGATTTTTCTTTTCCAGTATCAACATCAATGCATTCATAAATTAGTTTTACCCAAGTCAACTCAACGTGATTTTTACAAGTTCAATATAGAGGTTGAAAGAGCTATTACATTTTCCATAGTCCCCCTTAATTTCTTTTCTCAGCACTCCCAACTTACACAATTGATTGTTCTTCAAATCACCAAGTCTTGAGTTGCGATAGTATTAACATGGTATCAAAAGCCGCTATGAACAAATGATAGGAGTTTGATTATTACCAACTCCATTCACAACCACAAGCGTAAGGCATGATAGATTCATGTTTTCTCCTCATTCCACGTCCAAAGGGTTTTTGTTTGAAGGGACATGTTAGGTATTACAGTACAATTATCTATGTTCCTTAACACATCTTTAATTTTTGGTTCAACAGACCATGACAAAGAATACATAATAAATAAATCAAAACCAAAAGCATAAAGTTTATCTACAATAATATCTGTGTAGTAAATTTGCTAGTGTCACGAGCAAACTCAGTAACTGGTATCTTGCTGCGGATAAAGTGATTTCCAAAGAACAACTGCAATCTATTAGGTAGTAATTCTATAACTCACCCTGAGATTTAAAATTAAACAAAGGAGGAAGTGGGCGGCCATTAGGAAGGCGGGTGTTTGGGTCCCTTAATTCATCAAAGAAGGGATGAATGCAAGCAGCTGCAGCATCGCAGTGCAGTAAATTGGGAGAGTACTGAAAGAATCTGCATACAAGATCAACTGCTTCTGGGGGTAGACGCTTCTGAAAGACCTGTCGGATAAGGATAAATCAAGGTATAAATTCTCGGTGCCAAAAAGATTCATTTTAAGAATATTAACACTAGAACAAAAGTTGTGCTAAAATTTGCAAAAACTCAAAGATGAGATAGCTTCACATTCACATATCATGACAATACTAATCTTCAAACATATTGAAATAAATGGCAATCCCTATCCCTGATTTAGGCATGTCTATGAGATCTCCCACAATGGGCAACCAAAACTGCCTCAAAAAAGAGTCTTTTTTTTGGGGGGGGGGGATGTTTGGGGGAGGGTTGTTTAGTAAACTACATGTCTCTGAATTCTGAAAAAAAAGAATGTCGCCACATCTCATCATCCATGGAGTAGGAAGAGTCAATAATGCACAAAATCTATGCACCATTCTGCTCAATATCAACAAGGAGATCATAGGATTCTTGATCAGCAATTTACTTTAATACCCTTACTACGTAGCCATATTTATTTGTATCCCTCGGTAGCACGTACCATTGAATGATAAAAATAAGCTTCCTTCTTAACAATTTCATTTTAAAATAAACCAAGTCAAGAATTTTCCGTTTTGAAGGGAGACCACTGAACTTTCGTTTGGATTATGCTTCAAATTATCCCATCTATCTGATAAAATGCTTTTCCTTAACCTCACAACAATCTGCCTACAAGATGCTCAACATGAATTGACAAGTTCACCACATCCTAATAACCAAGAACAAATAAATTCTAAAAGCTTAATCAGCCAGTTCTGTGAATCTCTTCCCAGCACAATACCCAAATAGAATTAATTAAATATAAATAATATTAAATAAAATAATAATAATATTCTATTTATAATTTTAGAATTTTAGTTATAATTTTAGAATAATTAAATAAAAATAATGAAATTTAAATAAAATTTAAATAAAAAATTAATAAAAAGAAGTGATTGATGTTCTATATATATGAAAATAGATATTGAAAATCGATTCATATTAAACCTCTATCTTCATAGAGTAAAACTTTATACACTACAATAATAGATAGTATAGTAGAAAGAAATAGATTTTTTTTCTTTATGCTTCCATCAAACGAACCATGCCAATTGCTGATACAAATATTAATTATAAAGTCATAGGCTCATAAATAGGAAAAATGTAGGTTACTTTGGCAAAGAATGAGATTGAGAATGAGGGGGTTAATAAAAATCATGGATTACTAGAGCATTCCTAACAAATTAAAGGACGTAAGCAAAGACAAGACAGAACAAACCTTGTGCCATGGATGAGGTTTGATCTGCGGAAACTTGAATTCAGTATAATTTGGGTTCATGCATTTTATCTCTTCCCGGGTTGGAGTTCCCAAAACCTGAACAAAAGAAGCGTCTCCTTTATGCCACCAGTTTGCTCATACCAAGAAGAAACAAGTATAAAAGTGCAACTTAGAGCACAAAAGTGAAACCATGACACAAATAAGTTAAATTCTCCCTTTCCTTCAGCATGGGTGTAAAGAAAATGGGAAAATTTTCATATTGGTCATTTCACATTGAACTGACTGAATTTATTCAGTCTAACAAAAAGCATCACACAATTTATTGCAAGGATTACACAAATCTAAGATTGTAATCCGGATTTCACAATGTTTGGTTAGTAAAATATGAGCCTACTATCCCAAATGACTAAAAGATAGTTAACCCCTCACCTTGATGATTTCAACTAGTTGATCAACTCCGCTTTCTCCAGGAAATAAAGGCTGCAAAATAAGTTGGACATCAGTGACAAAGAAAATGACATTAAGAAAATGAGGCACGTCTGTGTATGTGGTTTTATTACCTGTCCAAGAAGTAGTTCAGCCATCACACAACCAGTTGACCATATATCTATGGCAGTTGTATACTCAGTTGCACCAAATATAAGCTCTGGAGCACGGTAATATCTTGAACAGATATAAGAAACATTTGGTTCTCCTTTCACCTGAAGAACAAGAATATGATTAAAACCTGAGCAAAGAAACAAATACTTCCAGCAAGCACCAGTGGGCTTAATATCTTACCAACACTTTTGCGCTTCCAAAATCACAAAGTTTTAGTTGATGCGTGTGTGGATTCACCTGGCATAAGCAACATGAATTAGAACACAACAAAAGAACATGCATTTACTGACGTCTATATGCACATATTCCTCCTCAGGTTTGTCTAGCAGATGGTCGGTTCTTATGAATGTGTTTTCGAAATGAAGCTACAAGGACCAAATAATCAGAATGAATCTGTTCTTCAGCAGTTCATCCGTTCATAATCATTGTTTAGGTTCTATGGAGACTCTTACATATTAATCATGCTGGAGAAAAATTACTCAAAGGGCACGTAGAAAAGTAAAAGTGAAAGAAGTTAGAAAATGTCACTGTCAATAGATTTAACCAACTAATTATGAAACAAGACTATCAGCATCCATTAACACGGCAATATGGATAATATAAAAACGTAGTATAAGGTAAAATCGCATTCATAAAACCATACATTATAAGACTAAGTTCAGTGGCAATCTTGAAAGCAATGCCTAGTAATGTGATGACAATTATGAGGCCTTTTTAGGGGAAATTAAATCTTCGCTAATGCAGCCATATGAAGGTGGAGGGAGGCATTAGTTGGGCATTGGATTCATATGACAAGAACAAGCTAGCCTCGTCTTTTTTTTTTTTTTTGGCCCTCGATTTCATTTCAGCAATGTTTCCTTTCAGTGTATATGCTTATTTATTTAGATTTAGAGTGTAAACAAAATTTCACTGCTCAATGATGGTATGAACATGCAAAACTTTATACCACGGAAACAAACTTTGTAGCGCTCAGTATAACACCAAAATCAATAGCTCAATGGGATGTCTTACTATTTGCTCCAAAAAAAAAAAAAATGGGATGTCTTACTAGTAAGTTCTGGGGTTTAATGTCACGATGACATATTCCAATGCAGTTGTGTATATAAGCAAGGGCCCTGCAAATCTGCAGCAACACAAATAAGAAAAGAAAATAATAATAAAAATACTAGTAATATCAATATCATTTTCATATTATTATTAGCAATAACACAAACATACAAGGGAGGTTGGAGATTTAAAATGTGTGAACCACATAATGATTATTGGTTTTTCCTTCTTTTGGAAGTCCTCTAACCAAAAATAAATGCAATATCCACAGTTTATAAATTCAGAGGCAAATGTTAAAATAAAATGAAATCAGCAGCGAAGCTGGAGTCAAAATTTCTCAAAATGAGGTAATAAAAGGCAGAGAAAAATATATAACAAAAAATCAAGTATGATCCATAATTTAGTAGGGAACTTTTTTATTTGGCAAACACCGAGACATTTGGAGGAGTGGCTCAAACCCACAATGTTAGCATCAGAAGGATACTTGGTGCCACTTGAGCCAAAGGCTCTTGGCATTGCATAGTATTTGTCAGAACAACTTCCTTTACAAGGGATATTTGCAAGTTCGTAATCATTTAAAAAATTGGATGGTTGTCTCTTCCTATTCTCAACTGTTTCCACACCAGATCAAACACAAATAGGCAACAGCATACCTGGTAAGTATATAGTTTGACATATATTAAAGGCATTCGCTGATTCATCCTGCTATAGTGCCTTGCAATACGGTTAACAGTTTCAGGAACATATTCAAGCACCAGATTCAAGTAAACCTCTTCTTTGTCAGTTGTTGAGAAGAAGCAATGCTTCAGGGCAACAATATTTGGATGATCCAGCATTTGCATAATCTGTAACTCTCTGTTCTTGTAGCGTTTGTCCTGGAGAACCTTCTTGATGGCTACAATCTCTCCAGTTTCTCTACATTTTGCCTAATAAAACCATTAAAGTGAGCATAATTACGACTATATTCTCATTAAAAAGCATGTCTTATGATCAAGAGACATCAAGAGAAAAACAATGTAGCTCTCCCTCACCTGAAAGACAACACCAAAAGAGCCTGTTCCAACCACATGTTCGGCAATGTAGCTGACATTCTGTCAAATCAAACAAAGCACACATCAAGGACCTTGCTGTCACCAGCTGGCAGTTCACTGCGATCAGATAAATATCTGAAAAATATTATTATATATCAAACAGTCAAAAGAAGTTTTACCTGCTTAGATTGACCATTTCGACCACCAATGCTAGTTCTTATCACACGTCCTGTTTCGGCGCCAACACCATCAATGATATCAGGCTCACTTTCCTGGAAATCCAATTAATAACAACTCAGAACAAGAACAGCTAATAAAGCAAAATTGAAATTTTTGGATGGTAAATTCTGGCAGTGGTCATTTCTTAAATCAAATTAAGTGCCCTTAGGATTAAGGAACCACTTCAAAACCGCCCTGCATTTGCAACTTATCAAGCAAGGAGCACATGAGGAAAAACTTTTCTGGCAGGCAATCCAAGCTCGCAATGAGATTCCCCCCCCCCCCCCCCCCGGTAACTGATTTGAAAAAATCAAGCATCAAGAAGATAAGGGAGAATAACCAAGAAACTTACCCTGTCGTCATCATGGTCAATCTTGTCCCTCAACCTTAATTCAAGCATCTCTTGCCCGAGCCAATCCACCGAACTAGATGAACCCCTGAATCCATTAACAGACCTTGAACTGCTGGCCCCACCATTTCCAAGGCTAGCAGACGCCATGAAGGACTGTGACAACTAACGCAAGTTCTACTACCTGCTGTCTTCTGGATACCTACCTCTTGTGTTGCTAATTTCCTTCAAGAACATATCACCCGATAAGAATTCATTGACAACATATGCAAACAGGACCAGAGAAAGCACAAAGTAAAATACCCACAAAGATTGGCAGAATGTAACAGAGAGAAAAATTCGAAAGCATTCAGCAAACAAAAATTAAACTAACAATCAAACAGAAAAAAATATCTACGAAGAATAATCAGATCTAGTATTAAATCATCACAACCTTTAAACCGTAAATAAATTAAACTTAACAGTGAACACCAAGAACACCATTTCCAAAAACTGCAAACGCAAAAAAATTAAAAAAGTAAGAATCTAAGCTTAATCTAAAACAACATCAAATCCACAAATTAGAGCGACCGATCAAAATCCAAAAACACAACCGTAGCTGCTCCCCACTAACCTTAAAGTGCTCCTGATCAAAACCGGGCCACTGCACTTTCATTGTACTTAACCTTCCGCTCTAATCTATGCAAAGCTCCCCTCTAAAAAAGTGATACACAGAAAGAAAGATCGGATAAACTGCTTAATTTTTCTTCACTTACCCTCAGTTTCTCGCTCTCTTTCTCTCAACTCTCTCGCTGTGATACTGTTCAGCGTTTTGATGTTCTGTCCCTTCCTTCTCTCAAGTAACTTTTTTTTCTGTCAAACGTTCTCTTGAGCTTCTGACACATATCCAGAATCCACTCTATTTTTTTTTATAACGATTTGTCTATTTTGTGATTATAAAACTATTAAATATTCCCTCATATCTTAAAATTAAAAGTGGGATTAGTTAGTTATTTACTTATAAAAATAAAAATTATTTTGCTAAAATATTTTCTTTAATCATTTACCACAAAAACTACCATATTAATAAAAATTATTTATATTTATCATATCAAGTAATCTAATCACACACGAACATATATTTAATTTTTAAAATATTAGTATTTAATAGTAATGAATTACAAACCAGCATGAAAAAAATAAAAACATATGGTCATGTGTAGTTATAATACTTAACATAATAGATATAAATAATTTGACCTAAATGTTTTTGTAATAAAAAAATTTTAATATATATAATCTATAGAATAATATATTCATCAATTTTTTTTGGCCAACAAGTAAATGATAGAAAATGAACTTCGAAATTATTAAATCGCTAATCAGATTTATTTCTTACACTTAACTCGTAAATAACAACCCACTTTTATAAAAAACTTTAATTAGCGATTATGCAATTTTCACATTCTTTTTTGTGTGTCATTGTTCTATACAATAATGGAATCTTCAAAGTCTAAATAATTAAGAAGATATTATTAATGAAACAAATATGTTGGCAAAAAAATTGAGTGAAACGATAATGGCATATGTTACTCATACGTCTTATTTAGTTCTGTGTTTTTTTTAGATGAAACTGAAATTCCCTTTGGTTGTAGGAAATTATAGAAACGGAATAATGGGATGTGGTGACAGAAATTAAAATGGACTAAAATGATAACGACCACAGATAGGATTTTGTAAAAGAATGGCAATGAAATACTACTAATAAATATCTATGAAGAAGATCACTAAAAAAAATTATGCATATGACTAGGAATTTTCATGTCCGTATAAGATTATGAATTTATATTTCTAATTTTAAAAAATATGATAATTACCGTGGGATTAATTACTCACATAATTATGGTCAATCAAACATAATTATATTGAAATAAAATTATTAAAAATATGCTTATATCGAAATATGTTATGATCATTATGAAAAGGTTATTCCTAAAGAACTCTAAGGGTGTGTTTGGTTCAATGAGAGGAAAGAGAGGGGAGGGATTTTAATGGAGGGAAGGGGAGAGGAGAAGAGTGAAAGGATTTTAATATTATCTTATTTGGATTTATAAAACAAGAGGAAAGGAGAGGGAAAAATATTTTAATATGGACAATTTTGCTCTTATTTTATTTAAGATATGGGTATAATAATCCGACATAACAAAATATGGACATAACGGCCACAACATAGTAAAATATGAGCATAATGGTCACAACATGGTAAAATATTGCTCTTTCCCTCCAAATCCTTTCAATTTTGTAGGGGAGGTTGAGGAGTGAAGGGACCCTCTCCTTCTAAAATTTGTATGTTGTCAAACAAGAGAAAACGATAAAAATCCCTCTCATTCTCTTCCCTCCCTCTCAAATCCCTCATACCAAACACGCCCTAATAGTGTTGAAATTTTAGTAGGATCTTTTTGATAATAAACACATTTTCCTGCGTATTATACAGCATTTGGATAACGAATAATATTACTTAGATTTACGTATATTGTAGTTTGTTTTTCAATCTACTCAACTACAATTCTCATGTTTTTGTTATTCACCAAAAAGAAAAATGTGAAATACTCTTCCGCATATTAATATAAGACCTGATTAATTAATTTAAATACATTAAAGATGTTAGTTAAATTAGTCAATATGATATGTTTTTTTAAAACATCCAAAACTTTTTTCTTAATTCCCTCCCCCCCTCTCCTACTTGATTATTATTGATCAATAAGGTTAATATGAGAAAAAAATTGATAAACATGTAAAATAGGTCTTGTATATATAAGACCAATATCAGTTCACCAATTAAGTTCTATATTAAATACCCGAGGAGTATATTGTTTGGAAATTAATTTTATATATATATGTTATTTCAGCATTCCCAAAACATATTGAAAATTGAGTTGTATAATTTTATACTAATCTTATAAAAATCCACGCTGTCACCATCAATATTTTACATATAGTATCATATTATAAATATTAATCGATGGTTGAAAAATGATGAAGCTTATGTAAGCAGAAACCAACCCTTTTGTTTCATATGCTTGAAAATTTGACTCAAGCTCATGACATCACATCCTTATCAATATTTAAAATAATCTGCCCAATGAACTAAACACTAGTGTAGAAATGAGTTTTGATATATTTGGCTTTGAATAAGGTGAAAATGAAATTTGACTGTAAATAGTCTAATCTCATCACTATATATTTTCTTTCTCTCTACTGTTTCCAAACATATCAAACTTTCTTCTTCTTTTTTAATTTTTTGTTTTTATAATGATGCAATGACTTTTATCACTGATGATTTTACTCCAGTCAAGAATAAATTACACCATACATATTTACAAGTAGAAAAATTATTGGGTTAGTGTCTAATTTTGCCCAAGAGCTCTAAGAGGTCTAACGTAGGACCTTGTTAAAATTCGAAAAAAAATTTAGTTTCAATGTCATCCCGAAATGTATCAAGATAAAAGCAATGCCGCCCTATACTAATGGCAGCTTGATAAGCATCTGCCGCGGCTAGCTTTACGCCTTGTATGGTTCAATGAAAGTTTTTGCAAGAGAGCAATGTTACCCTAAAAATACTAAAATTCACAAAAGAGCAATGTTAACCCAAAAATATCAAACAAAAAGAGTATTGTCACCCAAAAATTTAATAGCAAAACAAGAAAAGAGAACATAAAAGACTAATAAAGACGCAAAATAAAGATTAACAAGAGTTGGTTTAGTTAGTAAAGAATCGGCTCATAACCTACAAGATTGCGAGTTCGAATCTCACTACCAATGTGAACATCTTATTGGTTGGCAATCTGTAAGTGCTTTTTCAGTCTGAAAGTATGTCCTGGCCCTGGTAAGCTCCCGGATCTAACTGACCTAAATTTTTTATATACCAAAAAAAAAACATGCAAAACAAAGTCAATGATGTAGATGATGAAAATGATATAGATGATGATCATATGGTAAACAAACACTAAAGAATGAGGTAGGAGCAGATGGCAAACAACTCTCCACATGATAGTGCTCCACTTGGTATATTACAATCAACATCTTGGGATCATCGTATGCTTTAATTTCTCACTCGGCAGTCTCTCATGATATATAGTTATAATACCAAAAAAATAATTAAGTCGGAATTACATATATAATTTTATTAGATTAATTAATCCATTCTCTTTTTCTTCCAGTATCACTATAAACAAGTTGAATTCGTCAAAGTTAAATATGAATCTCTAGCTCTTACCATTTAGCTAATTGTTAGATACAAAGTGGGGCGCCATCATGTGGTACCATATATTTCATAATCTATATCATTTACTTCGTTTTGTGTTTTTAACGGTCTTTCATATGCCTTTTTCATTTTGCTGTTAAATTTGGGTAAAATTACTCCCCTTTCAAAACTTTCGAGGCAATTTATGAAAACTTTCGGGGCAAAAACAGCCCAAAAAAAAAAATGCCAAGCGAACATTTGCTACATTATATACCTTATGTCATATATATTTCCACGTCGGTATGACCATGCTTTCTTTTTTCTTTGGTCATTTTTATTTCGCAAATTTAATCTTTAAGATCACTTCTTACAATTTTCATCACATATTTAAAATTTAATGGACTCTTAATTAGTAATTCAATACAATTGGCAGCACATATATATTTTCTTAATTGTGAAATCATCATTTCACACAGCGACAATGTTCACAAATCCCTCCCTAAGATTCCCACAATCTTAATAATCACAACTGTGACACAGCGATACAATAGTATATAAATTTCTCTAAGATTGGATATAAACAATGAACCATACTAAGGTTTGATTTGAATGAAAGGAAAAAATCTGAAGAAAACATAGTGGGTAAAAATACTACAAAAGGAAAACTCCTAAAGATAATTAAAAAAATGTACTATTTATGAAAGTTTTTCTTTCTTCTTTCCTCGTTAGCTTTCTTTTTCCATCCAAACTAAGAGTAACTGGGGTAAATGGAACTCATTTACACAAGAATTTAATGCAACATTCAAACATAATCATAAAAAAGAATAGAGTGAGCTAACTCTATAGATAAGTGAGGTCATTTCATCAAATATTCAAGTGATGGGGAGAGTTCACAGCTACATTACAAGTGAAACATTAAAAGATGCAATCATCAAAACTAACAACTCTTCATAACATCAAATTAAAGATATTTTACGAGTTAAATTAAATATATTTCACTAGTTGCCTAAACCATAGCTATTGGTAAACTCATAGCATATATACCTAAACATATATATGTACTCCTCCAGTCCTTAATCTATGACCTAATTGAAGGAATTAATGTTAATCTTATATGTAAGACATATTTTATATATTTACCAATTTTTTGCCAAATTAATCTTGATAATATTTCCCAACAATAATCAAGTAGGAGAAAGAGGGAGAAAATTAAGAAAGATATTTATAGTGTTTTTAAAAAAATCATATTAACTAATTTAACTAACATCCTTAATCTACTTAAATTAGTTAATTAGATCTTACATTAGGGCCTATTTTTTCTTTTTAGTTTCATTGTATTACATTTATTATAATAATAAAAAGAAGACTTATATGCATCTGAAATACACCTAACAAAAAAATGATTGTTTTTAGAAAATGCTCAGGCAGAGAAGAAATGGACTAGGACCATATCTTAACGTGTGTTACATCTAACCTTTATTTATTTATTTACTTTTTTTTTTGTTAAAGCATAGATATTTTTTTATTGGACACAATTCTATTCGAGGCACTATCGAGCACTAAATATGGACACATCTTTCAGCAGGGATTCAAATATTAATTTGTCACATTATGAGATATAACTCCTTTTATTAGGCCTAAC